AGTAGTAGTAGTAGTAGTAGTAGTAGTAGTAGTAGTAGTAGTAGTAGTAGTAGTAGTAGTAGTAGTAGTAGTAGTAGTAGTAGTAGTAGTAGTAGAAGTAGTAGTAGTAGAAGTAGAAGTAGTAGTATCAGCACCACCACCACCTCCACTCCCACCAGTGACCAGCAGCAGCAGCAGCAGCAGCATAACCCATCCCATACCATCCACATGACTGCAGATAGATAGATAGCCATATAAACATGCTACATCCCGCTTCCATAACCATCCATAACACCTAGTCTACGCTACTTACCATGAATCCCTGACCCCACCACCTATCTACAACGCACCATGCCTAATCCGCACTAGCTCTTCCCTCTCTCTCCCTCACCCAACCCCTCGCCTCCTCTTCCGCTCGCCCCTCCCGGCCGTGCAACAGACACATGCACCACATGCACCACATGCACCACATGCGACAGGCGGGAAGACAAAGTGGAGTAAAACTAGTCTGGCCTGGCCCCGCTATTGATTGCTGCTCTACGCTGCACGTAATGTACATTCGTGCATGCGTTAGGTATATACATACATACATATATACATCGGGTCGGATTTGCGGGGAAGGGGGTTTTGTTGATGTTATCTGGCCTTTGTTTTTTGTTTTGTTTGAGTGTGTTTGAGTGTGTTTGAGTGTGTTTGAGTGTGTTTGAGTGTGTTTGAGTGTGTTTGAGTGTGTTTGAGTGTGTTTGAGTGTGTTTGAGTGTGTGTGTAATCATCATGGTTGGATTAGACGGAGGGATGGGATGGAGAGATGGATGGATAGATGGACAGGTATTAGATAGATGGTCAGACAGCCCGGATAGGCCAGGCCAGACCCCGCGATCCATCGACGTCATACCCCCCGTGCGTCCATACACCCAATCCATCTCCAGATACACCCAATCCCAGCATAGACCAGACCAACCCTCCCTCTACCAACAGTATCAAACACAACGACGTGACAGGATATGAGGAGCTCATTACTCCAGACATACATACACCCAATCCACATATCTTATCGACATCTTCAAATCCATCTCCATACACATGCACATATCCATCTCCATCCACCATGCTGAAACGGAGACAATGAGGGGTCGCCAGGTGCGGGGAAAAGGGGGGGGCCGGGAGTATGAATAGTAGGTGTATGCTATGCTATGCTATGCTATGCTATGCTATGCTATGTATGACCTGCCTGTCCATGCCATACACAATCATACACAACCATACACAACCATACCATACCATGCCATACCATACCATACCATACCGTACCACCCCATCCATCCATACATCCATCCATACACACAACACAACACACCGCACAGCACAGCCATCCACGACCAGAGGAGAAGAGCGGGGGTGAGGAGGAGGAGGGGGTTAGGGCCCGGAGTCGTGCCACTCATCTCGTCCCGTCCATCCACTCATCCACTCATCCACTCATCCACTCGTCCATCCACCCAGCTATTCATACCAGACCAGACAGACCCTACCTTACCTTACCTTACCTGACACTAATTACTTTAGAATACATTACAATAGGCTCTACTTTCTTGCTTTCTTGGTCGTCTTCTTGTTCTTGTTTGTTTGCTTTCCCCTCATTCTGACCTCTCTATCTCTCTCACTCTCACGTCCTCTCACTCTCACCTATCGCTCTCATTCTCACCTCTCACCTAACTCACTCTCTCTCACACACCTCTCGCACTCTCTCTCACCTCTCACTCTTACTCTCACTCACGACCTGTCCCTTCTCACCCTGCGCCATCATCAAACACCATACCACCCAACAACGTACACACAGCTGCGGATCTCTAATCTATCATCCGAGCTATCTAGCCGACTACTACATACATACCTACCAACCACCCTACTTACCACCCTACTTACCACCTTACATACCACCCTACCCACCCGCCCGGAGCAATCCGATCAAGTGGAGCTTCGTAGCTTCGTAGCTTCGTAACTTCGTAGCTGTAGCTGTCGCAGAGCTATCTATCCACCACAACACAAAGCATCTCCCGGCCGGGAAAGATTCAAACACCACCTCGTGTCCCCCTGCTCTCTCTCTCTGAACCGCTGAACCAGAGAACCATCCGTGCTTTGAGTGCTCCGTGCCGTATCGGTGAGTGCTTTTCCATCTCCTCCTTCTCCTCCGCTTCGTTTTCGATCCCTTGTGCTGGTCATGTCACTATTTTGTGCTGTCTTTTGTGCTGGATTTGTGTGTGATGTGTGTGTATATTGCCGTGGAACGGAGCCGTGGTGTGTATGATCTGTGCGCGGCCGTGTGGTCATGTGGATGTATGTATGTGTGGATGTGTATGTGTATGTGTATATGTTGGCTTCGCTGCTGTGGGTCAAGAAGGCTGTGCTGCTTCGGGGGGACGGTTCACTGGTACTGGCTGATACGTGCTGATACTGACTGGTACTGGGTGTTGCTTTCACAGATCGAGTGCCGGTGGAACGGTCATATCTAGCTGTCCTGGCCCTCTGCCTTCTGCCTTCTGCCTTCTTGGACCGACGTATTTATCGCACTCCGCCTTTCCTCCCTCCCTGCTCGCTCCTCGCTCCTCGAACGTTCCTGTCTGTGGTAGAGATATCAACGGACCTCTCCTCTCTTCTTCTGTCCTCTTCTCTTCTAACGCACCTACCTCTCCGCCTTCCACCCAACCTCCCCACATCACCCTCACAACAAGCCCCCCCCCCCCAAACAACAACAATGACGACCCCCATCGTCGAAGCCGCCAAGCGCAAAACATCCGACGCCCTCACCGCCGCCAAGGGCGTCGTCAAAGAAGCCGAAGCGCCCCTCAAAGCCGCCGCCGAAAACCCCTCCCAAGCCTCCCGCGACATCCTCCACACCCCGCTCATGCGCGCCGCCCTGCCCTTCATCAACGGCGGCCTCTCCGGCATGGCAGCCACCTGCGTCGTCCAGCCCGTGGACATGGTCAAAGTGCGTCTCCAGCTCGCCGGCGAGGGAGGGGCAAAAGGAGGCAGTGCCGGTGCCGGTGTAAGTGCCAGACCCACCGCGCTCTCCGTAGCGAGAGATATCATCAAGGCGGGCAAGGTGCTAGACCTATACTCGGGTCTGAGCGCAGGCCTCCTCCGCCAGGCCGTCTACACGACCGCACGCCTAGGCCTCTTCGACACCATCATGACACGCCTGAGCGCGGCCCCGAACAGCAGCAGCAGCAGCAGCAGCAGCAGCAGCAGCAGCAGCAGCAGCAGCAGCAGCACACGCCCATCCATCGGCTTCAAGGAACGCGCCGCTGCGGGCCTCGCAGCAGGTGGCCTAGCAGCCATGCTCGCAAACCCCGCAGACCTCGCCCTCATCCGGATGCAATCCGACGGCCTCAAACCCGCCGGCGAGCGCGCACGCTACAAATCCGTCATCGACGCCCTGACACGCATCGGCCGAAGCGAAGGCATAACCGCGCTCTGGGCCGGCGCAACACCGACAATCGCACGTGCAATGGCGTTGAATTTCGGACAATTGGCATTCTTCAGCGAGGCCAAGAGCCGGCTGCGGGACAGTTCGACGGTGACGCTGACGCCGCGGATGCAGACGTTGACGGCGAGTGCGTTTGCGGGGTTCTTTGCGAGTTTCTTCAGCTTGCCGTTTGACTTTGTGAAGACGCGGTTGCAAAAACAGCAGCGGGGCCCGGATGGGAAGATGCCGTATCGGAATATGGTTGATTGTTTTGGGAAGGTGGCGAGGGAGGAGGGGGTGTTGAGGTTTTATCGCGGGTTTACGACGTACTATGTGCGGATTGCGCCTCATGCGTATGTTTTCTTTTTTCCTTGATCGTCCTCCTGCGTGGAGATGGCTGGCTAATGACGTTTTGTGTGTAGGATGATCACGCTTATTATTGCGGATTACCTCAACTTCATCACGAAGTGAGCGTCTTGGCGGCAGGGAACATGATTGACCAGACTCGGCCACTCGAGTCGATGCGGAAGCAAGAATTGCAAAGCGTAAGGAACAGATATTGGAGGTGACAATTGCAACGCATCACGAACAGGCGTTATGGATACGGAACGGAACGGAACGGAGTCGGTTTGATATTTTGCAGAAGTACTTCATATTGCCGAATGAAGTGTGTTGTATCAGAGAGAGTTCTGAGTACTAGAGAGTTGAGTTAATATACACGAGACTAATTAGTGCTAGCGTGCCTGCCTTCCATGAGCGAAGTTTCTTCTTCAACACATCCATACGAGTCTACCTGGCTGGCGATAAGCGTGTCCTTGTAAATCGTGCGTACCATTGCCATGTAGGTAGATTTTTCAGATTATATATATATGCATAAATTAGTCATTACATTACAGGCATAGATAAGATTTCATAATAGACGCACTACGAGGAAACTACTAATACTAGAAAAAGTCTCCAAAGACCCCTTGGCGAAGAATAAACTGGGGGGTGTGTGTGTGTGTGGTGAGTTTACGATATGTACTAATGGGACAGGTAAATTGATTACCTACCTACCTAGACAAGGCGAGAGACAGGTTTGAGGTGTCTGGTGTCTTCGCGAAGAAGTTGATATAGATATGAACCACATACCGGTTGTGTATTTCTATATAGGGAGACATGACTATGTATCCACCATCTACAAATCAATCTTCAGTCTCCAGTCTTCAGTCTCTCCTCTCCATCCTTCAGCCGGAACCCGAGTCCCCCAAGCCCCCCAAGCCCCCCAAGCCCCCCAAGTCCCCCAAGTCCCCCAAGCCCCCAACACCGCCCTCACCCCTGCCCCAACGTCTTCACCCGCATCCACTCACTCGTGCCGACCCCCAAATTCAGCCCATTCCGCGCCCACCACCGCCGCACCGCATCCCCACGCGCACCCTCGACCCCATCCTCCAACGCCTCCTCAATATCACAAGTCTTGTACTCGACCTTCAGCCCGCTCTGCTTCCACCACTCCAGCACCTCGCCGTGGCCCATCTTCGTCGCGCCGACGAGCACCTGGTGGTCAAACACCATCTTCTCGCCGCGCAGCTCCGCCCAGTAGTGCAGCAGGTGGACGTGCCCGTGGGTGCTGGCCAGCTTGGCGACCGAGTCCTCGTGTTGCGGGGAGAGGATGCCGCTTTCGGCCCACCAGCGGACGACGGGCAGGGAGCCGGATTGGGTGGCGTGGGAGATGCTTTTGCCTTGCTTGAGCTTGATGGCGGGCGGGCGCTGGGCGCGGAGGCGGATGGTGGGTGTTGGTGTCGGGCCGGAGGCGGGTGTGGATAGGGGCCGTGTGGTGCTGCTGCTGGGCGTGGAGAGGTGTTCGCCGTCGGGGGGCTGGGCGGCGTGCTTCCACCACTCTAGCACCTCGATGCGGCCCTGGGAGCTGGCCTGCTCGAGCGCGGCCTCGGTGTACTTGAGCGGGAGGCCGGAGCGGTACCACCAGTCGAGGACGTGGACGAAGCCGTTGCGCGAGGCGCCGTCGAGGGCCTCGGCGGTGTATTCCTTGACGAGAAAGGACGGGGAGGTGTGCCAGAAGGAGAGCAGGCGGGTGTTGCCGAAGACGGCGGATGCCTTGTCCGGCAGGAAGGTGTGGCCGAAGGTCTCCCAGAAGAGATCCTTGTGGTTCGTTTCGAGATAGGAGAGGAGGGCGGTCTTGGAGAAGCGCATGACGAGCTTGATGCAGAGCCGGGACAGACCCCGGGGGGACTGCACGTTTTGAAGGACAGCCTTGACGTCCTCCAGACGACCGCACAGGATGCTCCATTCGAGCTTCTGCATCAGAGTCTGCGGCCCGGCCTCACTGCTCGCCTGCCTCCACTCCACCGGCACCGGCAGCGTCGTATGCACACCCAACGCCTTGGCCAACTCCCAGTCCTGCGTGAAGTCCAGAATCATAGACCACAGCTCCGGCGGCAGCATCGGAAACTCCTCTCTCTTCCCCTTCGCCGGCTCGAACGCGCGCGTCGGCGGCATGATATTGACGTCCTGCCCAATCACCATCCGGTCCCTCGCAATCCGCACCCCCTCCACCACCTCATCCCGGCCCTCCCAGGCCGCCAGCTTCGTACTCTTCGCGTCCCACAGTATCGGCTGTATGACCCGCACCCAGTTCCACTTCCGCTTCAGCTTGCTCAGCTGCTTCTTCGTGATCGGATTCTCCCACATGAGCGTGTTCATGCACGGCACCAGCAAGATCTTCTTCGTGACGTCCCAGCTGCGCAGCACCGTGAGCCACACATTCTCCGCCGCGATCCCATGCAGCATACGGGCAATATTATCCGAGTCCCAGGGCAGCAAGATGAGGAGGTTCGCCCACTGGCACAGTTCTGCGGCCCAGGCCTCGACCGACTGGCCAGACACGCCCGTCGGGGAGGTAAAGTCTTCTGCCCGCTCGGAATCGTAGTATTTGTAGTTGACCTCGTCCACGCCATGGAGCTGGCGGAGGAGAGGGCGTATTATGCCTTGCTCAAAGTGTATGTTCGGCCATCGACCATTTATCGGGTACGGGGAAGCAATGAGGACGTTGAGGTATCTTCGGTTCGGCGTTGCTGATTGTGTGCCCGGGCGGTGTGTTGCGAGGCCAGGCGAGTAGCACCTGTCAGACATTGCGTGAGAGCTCGCTGATGAACCGACTTCTCGTGACACTATGCAGGTATCTCTGGTAGTACGTGGGTGGGAAATTTGAGCAAGCTCGTAGGTATGCAGACAGACAGAAAGACATCAAAGATAAATTGCGGGTTCAGCTCTGACGCTCAACGCCACCTAGACTAGTGGGGCATCGTCAGGACCCTCATAATAAGGTTCAGGGATCCACCGGACCTCGACGTCAGGGTAGATGTGAATCTCCACAGGTATTCACATTTACACGCAGTCTTGGACAGTAGATGCATGTGAAAAGAATAGATCGATGTCACGCGTCTTCATTATAAACACGAGTGTTTTTCCCAAACAGGCATATGTACAGTGACATGGATAGGTAGTGCTTAAGTGGTGGTCTTAGCGTCCCCACTCCTGAGCCAATTAGAATCCTCGTTATTCATCTGCTCCAACACGCAACATATATATATATGTAAAGGTATCGTTTTTAAGGTAAATCGCCATTTTCACACGCGAACATATCCGAGAGTCAGTATATAAATATGCTCGTATCGTAAAAGGGATAGAATACCGGGCTGTCAAGTGTCTGCATCTGCTTCATCGGTAGAATCCCTCGTCCCCACCGGCCCAGTGCCCTCCTTGAGCAGTCTGCGGAGGTGGCTGATATGCTTGATATGCTCCTGTTCCGGCTGGTGGCAGGTTTGGACTTCCCGGGATAGCGGGTGGTGGATGATTCGGCTGAGATGGTGCGGAGGGCTGAACAAAGGTCGCTTGGCTGTACATACTAGTCGGAGAATCATAACTAGCCTGACGATGCGGTTGCTGCTGCTGCGGCGGTGGCGGCTGCCCGTAGTTCTCGTACGGTGCTTGAGGTGGGCCTGGTGGTGCATGTGACGGGGGTGGATATGCACCGCCTGGACGGTTTTCAACGGGGGAGTCGAATTGCCCAGTAGATAGTTCCTGTGGCACCCCACCTGGAGGAAAAGCCATGGAGTGAGGACGCTGTCCACCAGGAGGTCCGCTGTTCAGTCTTTGAGATTGTGGGCCTTGTGGTGGAGGTGCCTGGTGATGTTGCTGCGGCGGAGGGCCACCACTGGCCCCTGGGAGCGCATTGGGCGGCGGGTACATGTGCGCCGGTGCCGGCTTCGGGCTTTGACTTGGGCGCTGTTGCGGTTGTTGGCCTGGAGGAACCATCATGAATGGTGCTGGTCCATTTTGCGGAGGATATGAATTCTCAGGAGGTGCAGGGGAATAGAAACGCTGAGGACCAGGAGCTCCAGGGCCATACTGAGGATAGTTCTGCTGAGAGGGGGGAGCATAGCTGTATGGTCGCTGTGTGTGCGAGTATGTAGGCTGCGGAGGATGGGACATGCTAGCTTCGAGGAGCGACTCATAGTCTCGGCGTGCTTTGATAAACTTCTCATTCAGCTGAGTAAAGTCGTCTGCTTTACGGTCAGTATCATGTCTGCAACCGAGTTACAGGCTGCGTACCTTTCTTTTGTGAGTACTTCCCGATGAGCTCAATTAGCTTAGGCCTGATTGCCAGTGTGGAATGGTAGAGCTCAGTGATTTCCTCATTGTCTCTTACATCGCCCTCGGCCCTCGAGCTCGTGCTCAGGAGTGCAAGCAGCTTTTCCACGTTCCTGATTTGAGCAAAGACCTCTCCCTCCATCTGTGCTTCTCGCTGTAGCTCCTCCTGAGTAGGATCCTGCAGCTTCTCGACGTAATTCAAGGGAAAGATGCCGCTCTGGCCACGGAGTGAACCCTTCCACCAGTCCTTGTATACAGATTCGAGTACGGCAATGACATCACCCTTGCGGAATTGCAGTTCTCCCGGTTCAGACGGCTGGAAGTCGAAGAGCGCGCGTACACGTGAGACTGTAGCCGCTGTGGTCCCTGACGGAACAGGCTGCGATGGAGTTTCAGTGGGAGCAGAAGTCGAGGTGGTTTGGGCTGGACTGGGCTTGGTTCCCGCCTTGCTGGCAGCGGCGGCCGAGTCCTTCACCGACAGAGCGAGCGCCATTTGCAGCTCTTCTTCCTCTTTCTGGCGGTCCGACTCACTGATCTGTGTCTTCTGTGGTTTTGAAGGAGGCCTTAGTTCGGGATCTATCCTAGCATCAGCTACTGCCACCTGCTTTCTAGTCGTGAGAGCCTACTTTGCGTCTTCAGCCTCATATATGCCTGCTCCATGATGCCCAGATCGGGATCCTTCTTGAACATCTCTGTCCATTCTGCCATCCTTTCGAGTATCTTCGTCTTGACTTGCTGGTGTGTGTTCTGCTTGAGTCAGCAAGGGACGGCACATGAAGAGAGCCGGTCGTACCCTGTCTCCAGCCAGCCTGATCATCGCATCCGTAAAGCTCCTCGAGGCAAGCTCTCTGTGCATCTTGTTTCCGCAGTTCTGCGATAGCGCATTCGCTAATTCGAGGGTATATAACTGAACATTGGCGTTGCGGTGGGCAAGCCGCTTGATCATTGCGGCAACGGCGTTCTTTGCTCTGTGCCATTGTCAGCTATGCTTGTTCTACATTGCCTGCCCCTATGCGCGCGGCGATATGTCAAAGAGTGTGAGAGACGTACCCTGCCTCATCGGAGCCCACTTTGTCACAGACATCCTATACATAGACCTATCAGCATTCTCATCTCTTCATGTCGACTCTAAGAGCCGCGCTATGTCAAGCGTGTGCACTCCATCTGAGCTTCTCATCACGACCGGCTCTTTGGCTTATGCCCATATTTGTAGAAGCTGTAGAAGTCACGCACCAGGATAAATTCCCAATTCTCGCTCGTCAGGTTTTCGTCGGTCGCCTTGGCTACGGAGCAACAAGTCAGACATTCATGGCTAGATAGTTACTGCGCCAGGAGGCAAAACGTACCGACAGCATCGTCAAAGGCATTCTGTTGTGCCCTGAACATATTTCCCAGGGAAGGTCTGCGTAGATAATGGTGGAGTGTTTTTAGAGTATAGTGAGTCGGAAAGTTAGGGTGTCGAAAGAGAAGGGAAAGGCTGAATTCGTGGTTGTAGTAGGTGTGGTGGTTGTAGGCAGCGAGCAGATCGGCTTGCGTGCGTTGCCAGATGATGTCGGAGCTCCAAGACGCCTGCGCCCGCCTGCCCCCACCGCCACAACTTAGGGCTTTCGGGTTAGATCTGATGCTTCCCGCCCGCGCTGGGTATCGGCAGTGTCGTCACGCGCTGACGAAGAGTGACCCGAATTAGGAACACGACACGCGGTCGAGTCGCGCCGCAGTCATTATATTATTTACAAACATGCCAACACTGGAGGATGCAATAGTCACAAGATATGACAGCACACGTTTGCGGCGATTCCCGTGTCCGTCACACAAAGCACAACTCTGGAATCTGTCCAATGTACGTTCAAAAGAGGTGTAAGAAATTCGCTAGCATTTCAAGAAAGCAGCGAGCACGCTATTTAGAAGAAAGCTCCTTGCTTTGTGTGTGATTTCCAGCGGCATGTACAAAACAATACAACATTGTCCCGTTCGATTCGCCAAGTACGCCCAGCGAATATAAACATTCAGAGCTGTTCCCAGGAAGCTCTATGGTATCCAACAGTGTTTAATGCAATGCTATGAAGAAGTGCATGCCCGACCGACTTTTCTAGTGTTCCCGCTTTGCGTTGCGCTTGCTGGAGGTGCCAGATCATGGTCTTCTTGTAGGTGTGCTCCGATATGAAGGGGTTGCCAAACGGCGGGCTGGTAGTGCAGAAGTGTGACCATTTCTCAAATAGTCGGCCATCAAGCGAAGAGCATAGTATGGCGTGTGATCTTCAGGCAGCCTCGGGATGCGGCGGCGAAAAAGTACGGGCTAAACAGGAAACAAGGTAGATATGAAGCAATGTCTCGCTTTGCGGTGGAGCGAGCGCATGACAAGAGAGCCTCCTTACGAGCTCCCTTTCTTCCGGCGCTCTTCCGCACGAGCTTGTCTTGCTGCTCGGACGAGTGGCGCTAGACTGTTTAGCGGTTCTGCCGTTTGGATGAAAGGATGCTGGTGCATAGTCAGTCATACATGTCCATCTTTCTCAGCTGATTCCTCTGGATGGCATACCTTGAGCAGGTCGTGGGCACTTGCTCGCTTGTCGGGCTCAACCTTTAGAGCGAATTGAAGGAAATCTTTAAAGACTGGCGAGAGTTGCTCCTCTTCTTTGATGGTCGGCGTACCGTTCGTCGCGATGAGCCACAGGGCACGCAGGGGAGACTCGTTGAGATATGGTGGTTCGCCTTCAATCATTTCGATCGCCATGATGCCCAAGCTCCAGATGTCGACTTTCCTGCCGTACTCCTTCCTGGTGACAACTTCGGGGGCCATCCAGTAGGGAGTGCCCACCATTGTTGTACGCTTGGTGTGTGATTCATTGATCTGTGCGCAGAATCCGAAATCAGCTGCAAAGGCATGTCAGTCAGCACTGCTCCGAGTCCTGTTAAGAGACTTTTCCATCGTACTCAGCTTGATCTGACCGTCTTGCGAAAGCAGGATATTGTCAGACTTGATGTCTCTGTGTATCACGCCTTTGGAGTGCAGATGCTGCAGACCGTGCAACGTCTAGCTCAGGGTCAGTCAATGTTTCACGTGCGGCCGAGTTTGCAAACCTCTCGACAGACTGCGCTGATCTGGCCCTCGGTCATGATATTGAAGGTGACGACATCGGTCAGACTGCCGCCCTCCATGTACTCCATGACAACCCACAGGTCGTCCTTGACGAGGAAACTGTCCATGAAATTCACGATATTCTTGTGCTTGCTCTCTTTCATCACGATGATTTCATTGATGATCAAGTCCTTCTTGGGCTGCTGGTCGAGATTCATCTGCTTGATGGCCACACATTTGTTTGTGTTTACCTCGTAAGCAGTAAACACTCCACCGGAGGCGCCTTGGCCGATCTTGTTGAGATTGCGATACCTCTTTGTCGGATCGGCATTCGTACAGATGGCGCGGAGTCTGGTGACGATGTCTGGACCCTGACTTTGACGCGGGCGCTGTCGTGGGCGTGGGGCAGGTCCAATCTTGTTTGCTTGAGACAGCGCGGTAGGAGGAGGAATGTTTTCGGGAGCGGTGGTCTGGGCAAACTGCTGAGCCGGCGATGGGGTCGGAGCGGCTCTCTGCGAGGGGTGAGTTGGTGGAGATGGTTGGTGTCTGGTGCTTTGGCTGCGGGTCAGTGACTGGGGTGCGTCACGCGAAGGATGTGCCTGCTGCTGTGGAGGTGAGTACTGGCGGGATGACGAGTGCTGCTGAGCAGCAAGCACGGCCTGCTCCTGCTGCTGTGAGTACTGGGCGGCAGTGCCACCAATTGCGGAGTCGTATGCAGGATGCGGTGGACCGCTTCCGCCCGTCGTATTGGCTCGTGATCGGGGAGCGGACTGCGGGGTGGGGTGCGACGTTTCGTTGATTGTAGGGGGTGCATATTGTACGGCAGGAAAATCTTCCTGTGGCCGTGGTTGGCCGAGAGGAAGATTGACGAGGGGCGCGGGGGCTGGGGGTTGGTGCGGTCTGGTGCTGGCGCTGGCGGTGGTGGTGGTGCTGCTGCTGCTCGGGCCTGCAGAGCCGGCGGATGATGGTGGAGGCCTCGGGGCCGGGCGATTCGGAATCAAGTTCCCATTCGGATGGGGAGAGGTGGGAATGGAGGTTGCGGTGTGGCTTCGCGGGATCGGAGGCGGTGCTCGGGGGTTCTCAAAACTATCTATGTCATTGCGTGGGAATCGGGGGCTCGTTGGAGGGCTGATGAGGTTGTTCGCACCCGTCTGTGAAATACTTGGACTAATACCACCACCACCTTGGAATGCATAGCCTTGACCCTGCTGGGGATGCGTATGCCCAAACTTGTCCCATATGCCATCATCCGTCCTGCCCTCGGCGTTTTCCTTGTAAAAGGCCACAACGTCGGCGAGGGCCTCGGGATGCTGCTGCTGCTCCTTTTCGGTGATGCCTTCACGCTCGAGCATTCGCTGCCATTCTTTCGGCAGTCCCTGTAAAGATTAGTGGGTAGCTTTGCTATAGCTGCGGTGCAAATCGGATCATCATCATGAACAAGGACAGCGCAAGAGAGAGAGAGAGAGATAGATGGGACAAAAACCTTCACCATAGTCTAGTATAAGCGGTCCACCAAAAGAGAACTTACAGTGTATAGGCCGGTTTCATTGTCGATGCTGACGTGGGTAACGTGCATCGGGTTCGTGGGCGTGGATATGGTGGGACGTCGCGGAGAGCCTACGAGGTTGCTGACGAAGCTGGAGAAACCGCCCTTCTTCTTGCCGCCATCGGACCTTCTCTTCTTTTGAGTTTCGGACTCGTCCGAATAGCGCTGTCTCGGGCTCATTGTTCCGTCGCTGCGCGGAGGAGTGATGGTGTCCATGGTGCGGGTGAGAGCAGCAAAGCTGGCGCTCTGACGAAGCTTCGGCGAGGTGTAACGCGGATCGGTCGTGTAGGCGCGGGATGGGGATGGACGTTGCGGAGGACGAGAGGAGGAGGAGTGGAGGTGAGAGTTGTTAGTGGAGTGAGTAGCCTGAATGTTACTGTAAACGGCGGCGGCGTCGAAGGAGAAGGGCGCGCCAATCAGATCCGGGTAGGAGGAGTTCGTCAGCAAGGCAGCAGAGGTAGCAGGCTGGCTGCGGGGAGGGTCCGAAGTGTTGAAGGACGAGTTTGGCGACGGGTGAATGTTGGTGTAAGCATGGGCAGAGTCGACGGGGTTGGAGGAGAGGATGTGGTTGTTGTTGTTGTTGTTGAAGTCGGAGGGGACACGGCGGGTGGGTCCAGCAGAAGAGGGTTGGTGGTGGGTGTAGTGGTGGGTGTGGTTGTGGTTGTGGTTCTGGTGGTTCTGGTGGTGGTGGTGGTGGTAGTAGTGAGGGTGGTTCTGGGTCTGGGTCTGGGTCTGCTGGTGCTGGAACTGGCTCTGGTGCTGCGGAAGCGGGCTAGCTATGACGGGGCTCGGGGCAGAAGGAGAGCGGCTATTAGGGTCCAGGGATCCGGGGAAATGTGCAATCGGAGGCTTCTTGGACAGTTTCCTGGGTTTCTGCGAGTGCGAGGATGCGGTGGAGGACAGCGAAGAAGAAGAGTCGGCCATGATGTGTGTGTGGATGTGAATGAAGCTGGCCCAGCAGTCCTGAAGCGACGGGGCTGCTTGGTCCAGACAGCGACGGCGGCACTGACACTGACTGACTGACTGACTGACTGACTGACAGGCCGTGTCCAGTTGGTACGACAGCGGACAAGGCGAGTGGAGACTGAGTGAGTGGACAGTTGGTGCGGCCTGCAAATGGATCTAATCAATCAACTGGAAAAAGCTGCGCAGTTTTGTTGATTTGTGGGGGAAAAAGGCTGGAGAGAGAGTCGTGTGTGTGTGTGTGTGTGTGTGTGTGTGTGTGTGTGTGTTGACGACGCGACCGGCTGATTCGACGGATGCACGCTGCAGAGAAGAGTCGACGCAGGCTGCAGAAGCTGTGGAGAAAGGCGGATGCAGACTGCACTGCCCACAGCCTGGAGTGCTGTAGTCTTCTTCTTGGAGTCTTGGAGTCTTGGACGGCGAGCTGGATGATGCAGGCACAGGCGACAGGAGGGCGGTTTGAGTTGATGATGATGATGATGGTGGTGGTAGTGGTGGTGATGATGATACTCTCAGCGACGACGGCGACAGTCAGACCACAGACAAGAAGATGCAGCAGCAGCAGCAGCAAGCAGCGCAAAAGAAAACGAGAATTGCAAGGATTGATATTATGGCCAGCAAGAAAGAAGAAGCTGACGACGACGTTCAACTTGTCTTTCGCTCTCTCTCTATCCTTTTTTTCTTCTTCTTCTCCTTCTCCGTCTTCTTCTCCTTTGCTTTCCTCTTCAGGGCCACCTTATTACTTCTCTCTTACACACTAATCATAAACACTCTGGTTTAAACTCCACCACTGCACTGGAACTGACTGGACAGCAGCCAGTCTTGTCGTGAGCTCGGGTGCGCTGCTGGCTGGGGAGGCTGCTTGCTGCTCAAACTTAAGTTTGCCCCTAGTGTTGCTATCAGCCGGGTATCGCTGCTCTATGTTGATGATGATACTGTGGTATCGCCATAATCTCTCACTATCTAGTAGCTATCTCTGTTCAACATGTCCCTATAATTATCCCTCTATCTTCATAGTGTAATTTGCATAGTATATACATTTATGATATATCTTTCTACTCTTCTCGTAGGCCTCTCTCTCTCTCCCATCTAAGCATGACGCGACCACACACACACACACCCTTGTAGCAGATACCAGGGGCGTGTCAAGCTGTTTTGATTGCATTCTCCACTCACTCTCTGACCGACCCGTCTTTACTTTGCTGCCAACCTTGCTCTACACGCTCTCCCTCTCATCTTCCTCGTCTCAAGGCGCCAGATCCCCCCCTTGTGCATAGCAAATTGCAAAATCCGTGCTTTTTCTTCGTCGTCGTCGTCGTCGTCTTCTTCTGCCCACCAGCCGGCGGCCCCAAACCAGCGCAACGCCGGCCGCTCTGGCTGGCTGGCTGTTCTGGCCATTGCGGTGAACGGTGAACATGTAACGTCCCTACCACCACCTACCGACATATTACACACGACATACTAGCTAGGTACATTGTGCATACTACATACATCCTAGGTACATAGGGTAGTAGTAGTACTACATACCTAGTATACATATGTACATACATCCAAGCTTCCAACGTCGTCCCGCTAATTACCAGAATCGGGGGAAACAGCCTTTGTTTCAAATCTCGCAAATCCGAAACCCCGTCGTCACGCCTCACTAGCCAAGGAAGGCTACATCTACAGAAAAACCCTCTCCCCGTCAAATCACAACCTCCACTCGACTCAATCCTGCTACAGTAAATTTACCCATGCATCATCATCCGCCGCCGCCGCACCCTTTGCCCTGCTAAGTAATTAATTGCCCTTTTTTTGGAGGGGACTCCCTGCTGTTGAAGTCCCCCGACATCGGACTCCGTCCAGCAGCGTTGTTGTTGTTGTCGTCCAAGGGCAGTAATCAGGTCTGGACGTTGTGGAAGCGGCTACAGTACTGTAGGTGCTGATTGTTGCTTGTAGTGGTTTGACAGACAAGACACAAAAAGCAATCCCCCATCGCACAGCGTCGTCGCACTTCAAACGGCGGCGTCGGGCTTCATGTCGATGTTGATTAGCACAATCGCTGCCTAGACAGCTAATACTGTAGATAGACAGACAGACGGACGGACTGACAAAACGGCACTTCTTTTCCACGTGCCATGATGGATCGTCCCCACCGAAAAACCTTTTCCATGCATTCCAATCCTTCGTTCCTTCCTTCCTTCCTTTCTTCTACTACAACCATCCTTCCATCATTCCTTCCTTCTTCCATGCCCATCAACTGCCCCGTGCACTTTACACTTTCGCTACAGTAACAGTAACAGTAACACCGCCCTAGACACACAAAGTTCGAACGACCATGAACCATGGCGGGTCATGTGATCTCGCCACACACACGCTGTGGGATTCCTATTAGGTAATCCTCATTACTCAGAACTTATTCAGCGTTAGGCACGTATATATAGCACATAGATAGACTTAGTAGACACGTTAATTAATTTTGCCACGTCTAATTTACCAAAGTTCCCACAACGCACGCACAAAATATTATTATTATTCGCAACATCGTAGGCAGGTGGGCAGACACACCTCACTCCCCATCACCATCCATTAAGCCTCTATTTTCTACTCAACCCCAAGCAACAGCGATCTGCGCCCCTCCCATGCATCATCGTACTTATGTACTTGCATCTTTGCCCATTGACCCCGCCTGTCTTCCCACGTGGCCTTTTCGCGTGTTTCGTTGCCGGTGCCGTTCTCTGCTGATCCGGTCGATCTCGCGCGCCCTTGCTTCCCTCGGCTTGTCGATCGGCTTGCCTGCTACTGCTACTACTACTACAGTACGTACCTATGTATGTAATATTACGGACCGAGGCTTGTAGGGGCTAGTGATTAGACACCGGCCGGCAGAACAGACCGGATAAGGCGGACTGGCGGCGCTTGTGGCTTGTTGGCTTCGTTCGGGACCGTTGTGAGAACGGGGCGGGTGAGGGTCAGATGCTAATTAGAGATGTGCGTGGGATAGGGTAGTTAGGGTAGGGGTGGGATATATTCGCGTGCCTCATTCCTCAGGCAGCACTCTCTCCAAGATAAAATGAATACCTCACAACTGACGACAATCAGCCATCACCCTACACCTTCTTCTTCCACCACTCCCTCCTTCCCCTTCCCCTTCTCCCTCCTTCTCCCTCCTTCTCCCTCCTTCTCCCCTCCTTCTCCCTCTACACATCCCCACCCCCATCCCCACCCCTTTCCC